GCGGCAAATTTAAATTCAGCCTTCCCGTACCCGCGGGTAACACGTACGGCCCCGTAAAAGTTTTTCAGGTAAAATCAGTATCTCGGGAATCACAGAAGGTAGAAGGTTGAAATTTTGTGAGCATGTCCCCCACTCATGTTCTACGCGGAAAATTTAAATTCAGCTTCTCCTACCCGCGAGTAACAAGTACGGCCCCGTAAAAATTTTTGACGGGTAAATTATTTTTTGGGAACCATGAGGTCTAAGGAACTGAAATTTTAGGGTAATGACCCCCTGCCCCGCTCTACCCTGCCTATTCAAACTCAGCTTTCCCGCGTTCTCGGGTATCACCTACGGCCTAGTGAAAATTTTGGCGGGTAAAATATTAACTTGGGAATCACGGAAAGATATTCACTCTTCAATGTTTCGAATTCAGCTTTCATGCGCATGCGCGTGAAATTTCTAAATATTTTTCAGTGTTTAAACTATTTTTGCATAAACTAACGTACAAAGCAGTGAAAATCACTAATAGGCAATCGTCCGATGGGCTGAATTGCACAAAACGCATGATCGCACCGGCTAGTCTGGTGCGCATTACTATATATTGTAGTTGTCTGCGCAAAATATTAGGATTGGAGAAAAGGGGTCTTATGAAAGTTGACCCCTTTTCTCCGAAAACATATCAGGAAGCAATCTTTGTCACATTCCTTTACTGCAAACGTAGACTAAGCGAAGCATGCGAGTAGAAGTGTTTTATGCAAAACAGCATAAAAAAACGAAAGAAAATATCTACAAGCGCGCAATGGGGACAAACGTTGGGTTAACTAAATTATCGCTGGTAACAGCATGAAAACCTGCCGAGGAATCATAATGCAACCCAAACCTAAAAGGACTGAAATTTTGAAATCCAACCCAAACTTGCCCATCCTTTAGGAAACAAACATACCCATAAATTGATTTTTTGACAAAAATTTATGCACAGAAGCAGCAGGCAGTGAAAAAAAAAAAAAAACGAACAACCACGCAAAATTCATCCATAATGCAATTTTTCAGCAAAAATTCATGCGTGGACAGAGCAGTATCATGAAACAGCGCTTACCGAGTGTTTGCGCCAAGCGGATGAGATCGGCTTTCTGAGTAGGCCTTCGATAGGTTGGTGTTATGAAATAGATGAATGGGAGATGCTTACGTGACTCGGCAAGTGGCAATCGATCACGAACTCTGCAAGTGAAGCGATACACCTAAACTCTGATGAAAAATCAGATTTTGAGCGAAAAAAAAAACAAAAGTGAGGGATATTCAGATGTCCTTCAGCCTTAAACACTGACGGATCTCTGAGAGCGGATAGTCGTGGGAATCATCAGTACAGCCTGCTAACCCTCTGGGCTGAATATTTAAAGGAATAACGCTTCTAACTAGCAAGGCACATAAATTGTGGCCCGGCAATGGCAAGGCTAGAGATCAGGCGATGATGTTCAATGTGTTTTGGAAATTTTTTAGGATGCAAACTTTGGAAGTTTGTTTGGCAAAGAGGAACACAGTCGAATATCAACATACATTAAAGGTTTGCACTGTGCTAAGAAGATAAACATTGCATATTATTAAACAGTCGGTCCAAATCATGCCAAAATTAACCTCTATGCATCAAAAATCGACGAAATTTGACTTATCAGTCTCTTCAGTTTCAAACTCACATAGTATCACGCACCACGATGCCCTAGCACCATAGGAGAAACTACAACAAAATTTTCGTACTTTTTAATCTGCCTGTCCGTACAGTCTTCAAATCTATCACAGACACACACATCATATACATACACACACATACAAACACACACACA